CTGCTGCTGCTGCTGCTGCTGCTACTGCTGCTGCTGCTGCTGCTGCTGCTGCTGCTGCTGCTGCTGCTGCGGGTTTTGTATTACCTGCTGCTCCAGTAGCATTGTGTGAGTAGCAGCAAATAACAAAGACAACGAAGACAGCATAAATAAATAAAATAAAAAAAACAGAAGGAAGATGAATATCGTAGTTTATATCGACAGCAGCAGGAGACAGCAGCTGCTGCAGCTGATGGCCTCGAGACGTAGAAGCACCAGTACGCAGCACAACTGCAACAGCAAACCCACTCTCTCCTGCTGCTGCTGCTGCTGCTGCTGCTGCTGCTCCTGCTGCTGCTCCTGCACCTGCTGCTGCTGCTGCTGCTCCTGCTGCTGCTGCTGATGTGGATGATGATGATGATGATGGGGATGCTGATGGTTCTTCTGCTGCTGCTGCTCCTGTTGCTGCTCCTGCTGCTCCTGCTGCTGCTGCTGCTGCTGCTGCTGCTGCTGCTGCTGCTGCTGCTGCTGCTGCTGGCAGAGACTCAGATAGCGGTGAAGGGAGAAGCGGCGAGCTCGGCTCCGTCACGGATATAATTCTGCTGCCTGCAACACACACCATATCAACACTAAACCCTAAACCCTAAACCCTAAACCCTAAACCCTAAACCCTAATTCTCAAGGCATGCATTGTCTGACTGAGTTGCCGGCAAGAAACCCCCAAGAGGCAGATGTGCACGCGCTTTGCTCTGTATCCACTAGCTATCTAGCTAGCTAGCTAGCTAGATAGGTAGCTAGCTAGATAGATAGATAGATAGATAGACTATAGATAGACAGATAGATAGATAGACAGCTAGCTAACTAGCTAGCTAGCCAGATAGCTACTCAGCTAGCTAGCCAGCTAGCTAGCTAGCTAGCTAGCTAGCTAGCTGCCCCGAAGGAGACAGAAGGCCCCCACCTGCATGGATGAGGCTGTTGGGGTATTGAGCTGCGAGCCTTGCAGCGCCTGTCTGCTCCCCCCAAGGAGACAAATGTTCATCTGTCTCCGTTTCTGTCTCTGTCTCCGTTTCTGTCTCCGTTTCTGTCTCTGTCTCTGTCTCTGTTTCTGTTTCTGTCTCCTCCTCTGTATCTGTCTCCTCTTCTGTCTCCCGAGGCCCCTCTGTCTCCTTCTCTGTCTCTTTATCTTTCTCTTTCTCTTTCTCTGTCTCCTTCTCTATCCCCTTCTCTCTCTCTGTCTCCTTATCTGTCCCCTTCTCTTTATCTGTCTCCTTTTCTTTATCTGTCTCCTTTTCTCTCTCTGTCTCCTTATCTGTCTCCTTTTCTGTCTTCTTTTCTTTATCTGTCTCCTTTTTTATTTCAAGCGAAGCAAAAAAGGAGACAGTCTCCGCGGGTACTTTCTCTACGGGTGCTGCCTCCCCGGTGAAGTCTGCCTGGTCCACCACAGCTGAGCCCCCCACCACCAACACGTCAGCAGCACACGTCGTACCCTGCTGCAGCAGCACCACGTCACCTGCAGCACCAGCACCAGCAGCACCAGCAGCAGCAGCAGCAGCAGCAGCAGCAGCAGTAGGAGTAGTAGTAGTAGTAGTAGCATCAGCAGCAGCAGCAGTAGTAGCAGTAGTAGCAGCAGCAGCAGCAGCAGTAGGAGTAGTAGCAGCAGCAGCAGCAGCAGCAGTAGTAGAAGCAGCAGTAGCATGAGCAGCAGCAACGGGGCTCGGTGGATATCTAGCTAGCTGCGTAACTACCTACCTAATAGCTAGCTGGCTAGCTACCCTCATTATTATCTAGCTAGCTGGCTAGCTAGCTAGCTAAGTATATAGCTAGCTAGCTAGCTAGCTAAATATATAGCTAGCTAGCTAGCTAGCCTGGCTAGCTGGGAGTCAGCTAGCTAGCTAGCTGACTCAGTGTAAGCACAGCAGCAATCCAGGTGTATATATGCAGCATATATAGGGTTTAGGGTTTAGGGTTTAGGGTTTAGGGTTTGTACCGGGTACGAGTGTATAAGCAGGTAGAGAGACGATGCGTTTGTTTCTGATAGTGAGAACATCAGCAGCATCTATCTGCTGCAGCAGCGCATGCAGCTGCTTGCTGCTGCTGGCCCCCAGCAGCCCCCGGTGCAGCACACCCCACAGCCCCAGCAGCAACCACAAAGAACAAGAGATATAGCTTCGCCAGTATAGAGAGTTTATAAATAAAAACAACTGCAGCAGGTTCACTACACTCAGAGCCTCGCTGCATGCATGCATACATACACATAAACCCTAAACCCTAAACCCTAAACCCTAAACCCTAAACCCTTTTTTTTTGGCCTCATACGCCGTCTTGCAGCTTTATACAGAACGTAAACCCTAAACACTAAACACTAAACACTAAACCCTAAACCCTAAACACTAAACCCTAGAGGACAAATACTACACCATAAACCCTAAACATAAACCCTAAACCCTAAACCCTAAACCCTAAACCCTAAACCCTTACCCCTTGAGATAAGAAAGGAGGTTTTTCTTTTCTATGGGG